CAAATAACTCACTTTGGAATTTGGGGTGAAGCACATGATCTGAATGGGCAAAGATGGTAATGCAGTTTAAAAAGGAGATACAGATAAACTTTCATGATTGTCTTCTTGTGTCTGCTAATACACTACATGCTCTTTGAAAAATAAAAACTTTAGCAACTGTGCAAAGAAAGAGTACAAAATGTATCTATCATTACACCAATGAGATACCTGCTGTTAACATTGTGGTGCACTTTTTTTTTTTTTATGCACATGTGTATACTAACAACATTTAGGATTTTATTGAATGTACATTATTATAGTCTGCTATTTGATATAATATCAAAGACTTTTTGAATATTCATTTTTCATGGTGTTTTGGTGAGAGAAGAGAGATGATTGGAGAGAAGATTGCGCTAGTGTGAGCAATGTCTTGTCCAATGTCATTGAATAAAGTGGGATGGTGACAGTGTGTATGTACAAGAGAAAGAACAAAATGACTCTGGATTCTCAGTTGTGGTAACTGATGTAGTGACTGTGTTGCCCATAGGACCAAGATGGTGATACTGACTTTGCTTATTTTTTTATGTCGGGATGGATTCCGGAGTTTCCTCTTATACAGATTGTTTGCTTTCCTTACTAGATATAGTAGCAACCTCAAGGGAAGAATGTTTGGGAACATTTTGGCTACCCATGTAAATGGGCAATGAAATTAATTTGTTACACAAAGTAGATTGTTTGAATAATTTACTTGGCTTGGCTTTCCTCACAGCTGACAAGAAAAATAGTCATCATTCTCCTCTAGCTTGCATTTCTGTGGGAGATATAGTCAAAACACACCAGCAAGATTTCACGTAGCAACTTTCCCCATAAGTCCGTGAAAATGTTGAAAAATCATCCAAATTTACCAGTAAAATACTAAGAGCATAACCACAACAAGATCATTTCTCCCATTGACAAGTCTCATGGCACAAATCACCTCTAAAGTAAGTATTGGATATGATTAGATTCAGAAGATATTGGTAAAACCAGAGCCAATGAAAGTCCTCTTAAAATTGATAAGATCAATAGAAATACTATCCATTTATAAACTTTTGCTATCACTAAGTAAAATATGTCTCTGTGTTTCTGTGTATCTCAAGCTTTCTCTTCCTACAGATAGGTTCTTGACTGGTGTGCTCAATTGGCTGGAGAATGGGACTTGACAAGGTCAAGGTCACACTTTCTGCTAGCCACAAAGAAGCAGAAAACTATAGCCATCAATAGCACCAGGAATATCCCACACAGTGGTTTCGTGAATATGTGCTCTTGGTCACATAGGAGATTTAGAGAGAGAGAGTTTAGCTGGTTCAGTAACATCCATTACATTGTTATGAAAAGCAGACACACAACTTCAGGCACAGATGCCACCCGCTATGGGGCAGCGATTTCAACTTTGCATGAGAATAGCAGTATATACACAGAAGTTCGTAAATGCACAAACTTGATTGCATCAGAGAAAAGCAAAAGCCCCACTTAGCCTTAATTCCATTATTTAGCTAAAAACAAACACACTGCAATTATCTTTCACTTTTGTTTCTAGTTAATACTGCATTAATACCAAAGTTGTTGACTTAATTGAAGAATACTACATTCTTTTACAAAAATGCTAGTATTTTTTTTTGTATCTTTACCATTCAAAATAACCAAATCAACGCATAAGAACACAAAGTTTTTCAAAATAGAAAGTGATATCTTTGCATCTCAGAGTTTGTGAAGTCCATCAGAGAAATAAGACAACATTACCGAGGATTCATTCACTACGTTGCTGCCACTTCACAGTGAGGGTCATGTGCAATGACAAAGATTGAAAGTTGCACCACAGATCAAGTTAGGGAAACACAGGTTTCTGATCATTGCACTTTTGCTTCAAAGATCTCAGCCTGTGATTTCCTGACATTTCCTATTCCAATGGAGCTCTACTAATCCCACATAAAGTACAAAGCAGTGTAAGTGCCTCTGCACATCTACTCATTATCCACTGGACTTTGGAACCCAACTGCCCCTCTCATCTTTCAAGGAGAATTGTGCTTTTATGCTGTTCATTAAAAAAAAAAAAAGGAAAAAATGTCAAGACCATAACCTCTACCGAATCGCATTTACATCTGCAGCCCGGCAGTTGTTCAAAAGCAAGAACAGACACAGAGAGAAAGCCCCTTCTTCGGTCTAAAACTCTTAATCTCCTTTAGCAAAACCTTTAATACAAACAGTGTGGATCAGCCTTTCAATATGCAAGATGGACGAAGGTACCCAATTTCCTTCTATGATAGATTAAACCCCAAATAGTTCTTTATGAGGGAAATCCATCATAATCTTCCAATTTCTCCTTTAAAAACCACACTCTGAGTACCAAAAGCACATTGACCATGGCACTAAAATATTTACCTAACAGGTTTCAGGAGCCTCCTCTTTATTTTTTTGGACCT